GTCAAGATAATTACCGTAACAGTTAGGATGGCTATAAACTGCAATTATTACCATGCCTCCTGCTTCCCATCGCTAATCACTTCAGTGGACTCCCACTGAAATCAACTATTCAAGATTACTGACACACAAAAGATGGGTTCTTTGTATTTAATCTTAATAGAATGACATAAAAACAGAACAAGGACTTTTCAGTTCAAAATCCCCAATTGACGTTTGTCTAAAATAAAATAGAACCTGTTTTCCCAGGTGCATTCTACACTCCTGCAACAACACTTTGATCTCTTTATATATTTAGAGTACCTCTGGTATCTAATTTGTACAACACTAGCACAGTCTTCCTGGAGGAAATTGGGCGTTTCTAAAGGTTCACTGTTCCACACTCTGAGACAATACAATGATAAAAAATAGATATGAACTTTGTTAAAAAAAATACTCACACACACAACAATCTCAACAACTGTGCAAAAACAAACCTTATTTCTAATGCCTGGACACCTGATTCTGCCCATGCAGTTGTAACCCATATTTTCTGACCATAAGTGAGTACAAGGATGCACATGAACTTGCAAAAGAAGAGCTTGGATACAGCCCCATACAGTAATGCAAGACAATGTACATCTGCTTCAGTACCTCATACCTGCGATGATCTGCCATGATCTCATGGTCCCACCTGACATCTGTGATGAACGTGATTCCAATGTACCAAGCGCCTTCACCAAGGCCATTTGCTGCATAGCATTTGGCACAAATAATTTAAACAAGCCACACGATTAGTTAAGTGGCCTCTGTCTCTGTAATAGAGGTTTGCAATTTTAATTACATCTTTATTATCCCCTGGGGGGAATTTGTTTTGAGTACCAACTGCTAAGAGTTCTGGACAGAACTATTTCAGGATGTAAAATAGTTGTTTCATGTTATTTAAGAATGCAGTCACAGAGGTGATGAACGATTTCCTAAGTCTATTGGCATCATGATTTTCAGAATTAATACACCAATCTCTAGAAAGTCCCTAAGTCATGTAGTTAATTTCAGGCAAAGATGTTGATTCACAGATTAGAGGAAGGTAATAAAAACATCTCAAAGACTCTTCAGATATTATTGAGCATCGTGAAGTTGATCATTAAAAAGTAGAAGGCACCCAGACACTACTCAGTTCAACATGACCCTCAAAATCCAGAAGCCAGGCAAGGAGGAAACTGGTTAGAGGTGACTCTCTGAGGTCACTGGCAACTCTGGAAGATTTACAGGGTCCTATGGGTGGGATGAGATGTCCATAGGTCAATAATATCCCAGTCACCCCACAAAGGAGTGTGGAACTGGAAACAATATCTCAGATCCTGAACGGAGTGATACTGCAAACATATGGCTGAAGATGTATTCTGCTCAGACAAGGCAAAATTGGAACTTTCTGTCTAAATGCCAAGTCTTACATCTGAAACAAACCCAACATAGTGCATCATGCTGTCGACACCCTCCCTGCCGTCAAGCATGGTGGCAGCAGCACTATATTATAGTTCTGCTTCATCAGCAGGTACTGGGAAGTGTGTGAAGACTGATAGGAACCTAAATGAAGCAAAGTCCAGGCAAATCTTAGAAGAAATGTTAGTTCAGACTTTAAATTGGGGGAAAAAGTTCACCTTTCAGTGGGACAAAGATCCAAAGCACAAGGCCAAAACAGCAAATTAATTGGCTTAAGAATAGGTAAAACAGAATGTTTTTAAGTGGCTCAGTCAAAGTTTTGACTTGAAACCAAATGAGAATCTGTGGAAAGACTTGACAGATGCTCTCCATAAGCCAAAGAAAAGTGAGAAAATCTTCCAAGAAGAAAGGGCAAAAAATAAAGCATCTGAGTGTGGATAGGTGGTGGAAACCCTTCAAGGGACACTAAGCTACAAACTACTTCCAGCCCTACAGTACTGCAGCGGGAAGGTTTGGCTGCGATGGACTGGCGTCCTGTCCAGTGTGTATCCCGCCTTGTGCCAGTTGCTTGCCAGGATAGGCACTGACTTCCCTGTGACCCTGTATTGGATAAATTGGTGAGAAAAGGGGTGGGTGGGTTTGGAAGGGGAACGGATAAGGACTTTGAACTCCCTTTCATCTCTGATGTGCTGTATTTACTTCATTTGTGGGTGATAGTTTCCAGTGAAAATCAGAAAACTATGCTAGAAACTGATTTAATAAAGGTGTTACGAACAGGACACAAAACAGAGGCATGACAGATCACACATACCTTTATATTACATGTGTGAGGCCAGCTGCCGAGGTAGGATTTGGCACTGAGGAGCTGGATCCGACTGGGCAGCACCTGTCCTGCTCAGCAGGCTGATTGTTCTGAAATGCTTCAAGGACAAATATTTAGTGGTTAAGCACTAGAGTGTCTCACTGCCCACAGTTGCACAGCTGCCCTGGCGCCATTCTCTGACAGAGGAGGGCCTTCAGAACACAGAGAAGGCCTTTTCGTTCACTTCGGTGTTCAGGCTAGCCCAAGACTCACCCATTTACCGTGGAATAGAGTCAACCCGGTATCCCTACACAAAGCTTCCCCTTGTCTACGACATTACCCTTCTGAAAGCCTACCTAGTTACAGTCACCATAGATCTTCAGTCCACATCCTCTTCCTCCTGCTGCTCCAGGACGAGCTGTGAGGCACGACTTCACTTACTGGGGTCACCAGACAGGTTGTCACCCCCAAACGAGGCTTGTGCTCCATGGCAGCCAGCGCCAAGCATTTTGTTATTGTACAAGTTCAGTAGTGAAAACCATGGTAACAGTGTTGTAAACATGAAGGGACTTCTGTGGTGCAGATTGAGATGTACCGTAATAATTTTATAATTCATTGTGAAGAACCATTTACCATAACAGATAAAAATCACAAATATACCATATTTCACCATTTTTAATTTACTTTGATGTAGTCTTACTGCATACAGTACTGTTGCGAGTATTCTAAAGTGTTTCATTTGGACTGTTAATATCTTATATCAAATGTTAAAGCTCTATCAACTTGTGGAAAATCAGTAGACATAGAAAATAAGGATAATTATTTAATTTAATCATTTTCCCTACAGGATTAATAAAGTATTATCTATTTATCTAATTATGTTTCTCTTCTTGCAGAAATGAGCTTACCATGGCTACAGAACAGTGATTTCTGTCAGTTTCACAGAACACAGCCAAATAATTCCCCACCAGAGTTCTGGTGTGCTCACCCTGAACTGATCAAAAGAGAAGGATTATTACCGAACAGCCTGTAATCTCAGAAGTGCAGTGTTAATTAGTAGAGGAGACCTGATGAAGTGCACAGGGAGTGCTGATGTCCTGGGGGTCCATTAGACCTCCCCTGTTTTGGTAGATGTAGAAACTGTGATACTGTCTTCACAGAGAGCTGACCCAGTGTGGCATGTGCTTAACAATAAGTATCTGGTACCTAGAAATGAGCAAGAACTAAATATAGATGTCGCAGTATGCTGATAGCATTGCAGTCAATATTATTGAGGCTACACATACAACATTATCTATCCACTTTCTAACCACTTTATCCAATTCCGGGTTGCAGGGTTGCTGGAGTGTATCCCAGCTAATGACAGGCATAAGGCAGGATACACCCTGGACAGGGCACACACAGACACTCACTCGCACTAGGGGCTGTGGGAGGAAACCAGAGCACCCAGAGGAAACATGGAAACATGGAAAGATCATTCAAACTCCACACAGACGGCATCCCAGGTCCCAAATGAAACCCAGGGGATTCGCACATGCTGACCATTGTGGCTGCCCTCATCCCACAGTTCTCTCTCAATATAATTTGGTCTGGAGTGAAATACACTAACATGCAGAATATAGGCGAGTGCGATACAGTTTCATTCCTTTCCTCTCCATGAGCTGCAATGTTCACAGTTGTCAATAATCACCAAAAAGACAGCCCATTTAATATCTTGTACATATTCATGAACTAATAAAAAGTTTCGTGTCACTTATGCGGCACTCAATGGGACGAATGTTCCTTTTGGGATTCTCCACCTAATTCACCTGTTACTCAGTAGGGTGCACTGTGCCCCTGTAAGGCCTAAAGTAAAATGTGTCCACTACTTTAATCCAAATAAGCCAATGGGGCCTCTTTGTACAACTAAGCATGTGTTATAATGTTTAATGACACAACGACTATGCCGGCGTTATTTTACTTTAGTAAATGAAACGGAAGCCTCGTCAAATGAAATGAATAATCTAATAATAAACTAAAAGTGGATTTAGTAGTGGAGTATATTTGCACAGATTTAGATTCCAACAGTAGGTCAGTAGGGGGCAGCAAATCTCCCCTAACAGCCAAGGACTCGCAATGAAGCGCATTGCTCCAAATGTTGGTGTGCTTCAAGTTGTTACTGTCCGCTTTCGTTAGGTTGTTTTTGTCCCGGCGTCTTTTTCGTACGATCGGCCACCTGTTCCAGAGGCCAAGAAACCTGCTTTATTATGTTTCGTATAAAAACTTCATAGTGTTCAAAGACAATAGCCGGTGTGTGCGACATCTTCCCTTTCGCTCCGCGCAAAACTTGGGTCTAAGAAAAAGTCTCCCATTAAACTATAAAATAGTCTTCCTCTCGTGAATTATAACTTCACAAATTTCCCATCAAATTGCCCAGCGCGGAAACAAGCGGAAAGCAAACACAGTTATAGATGTTATTTAAATGCATAACGCTCATTTAAACGTTAAGAATCACATATTGTGTAGCGCACGAAAAACGCGAAATTAATTTCCCAGATGGGAATCGTTCTCTTCCACGTCGCTATATAGCAAAGCCTAATTTATGGCGGTTGTTAACCCAGCCGCGGTTCGCGGGGGAGGATATTCTTTCATTTAGAAGGGGCCGTTTTCCTTTCTCTCGTTTCCAATAGATCGGCAGGCGCAGTTTGCCCAAGAGAGAGAAAGCCTCTCTCTCTCTTTATTGGCTTCTCTCCGCGCTGATTGGAGGGGAAGCCAAGGCGAGCGAGCGCCCCCACCCCCCAAGCCTGCCCCGTTCCCCGTGCTCAGCGCCACTTGCATGCGGAGGACAGCGGTTTCCCAGCAGTGTCTCCGGACCGGGGCTCCAGGCTGCGCCCGCCGCCAGACATGCCGCTTCACGGGCAGAGCGAGAGCGCACCCAGAGCGCAGAGGTGACGGGAGAGAGGCAGGACAACCGCGCACACTCTCCGAGGAGCATCGATGTTCCCACCTTTTGGCGAGTCCTGAAGCGCCAGTTTCTGGATATGAAAGTTGATGGAAGAGGTACAAGGCTGTGAGGCATTCCGTATTAGATAGATACTTTATTGATCCCGTGAGGGAAATTGCAGTGCGGGACGCTACTGACATGCTCTGGACGGTCCCTTACTGTGCGAGGAGTTGCCGTTCTCCCCACTGAAAGGGAAACGATGCTCATGGATAACGTTTAACAACTGAAGCGCTTTTTTTGTTGTTGTTTTTCTGCCGGGCTTGAAGAGCAGGTGGTGTGAGTTTTAGGGCTGTGGGTTTTAATTGCTGTTTTCTATTCCCGTAGAAGGCATGTCAGCGCTAAGGAGGAAATTCGGAGAAGACTACCAAGTTGTGAACACCTCCAGAGGCACGACGTACACCGCCCCGGCCAAGAAGAAGCGCCAGAGGTTTGTGGAGAAGAACGGGCGGTGCAATGTCCAGCACGGGAACCTCGGCGGGGAGACCAGCAGATACCTCTCGGACCTCTTCACCACCCTGGTTGACCTCAAATGGAGGTGGAACCTTCTCATTTTCATCCTCACCTACACCATAGCCTGGCTGGTCATGGCCTCCATGTGGTGGATCATCGCCTACATCCGAGGGGATCTCAACCAGGGCCACGACGCCACTTACACGCCCTGCGTGGCCAATGTTTACAACTTCCCCTCGGCTTTCCTGTTCTTCATCGAGACCGAGGCCACCATAGGCTACGGCTACCGCTACATCACGGAGAAATGCCCCGAGGGCATCATCCTCTTTCTGTTCCAGTCCCTACTGGGCTCCATCGTGGACGCCTTTCTCATCGGCTGCATGTTCATCAAGATGTCTCAGCCCAAGAAACGCGCCGAGACTCTCATGTTCAGTCAGGACGCTGTGATTTCGCAGCGCGACGGCAAACTGTGCCTCATGTTCCGGGTGGGCAACCTGAGGAACAGCCATATGGTGTCCGCTCAGATCCGATGCAAACTTATAAAGGTAAGAGGATGTGAACTTTCCGAGCTCGGCCAGCGCGACATGCGCCTCTCTTGCTTAACTGTGAAATTAAACAGAATAATTAGTGCAGTTAACAACAACAACTGCACTAACGCCATCGTTCTTCTATAATAATAATAATAATAATAATAATAATAATAATAATAATAATAATAATAATAATATACACCAAAAAGGACTTTAATTGATATTTAACGTTTCAATCGCATTACCGTTTTAAAACAATGATTTTAAATATAACGTAACATAAATTTCTCCTGTATTCCAAACCCTTTCCTGTGTCATTCTGCTGTCTCCTTTCATTGTGTTTTTTTTCTGTAAAGCGCTTTGGGAAGTCATCTTTCAAGGCGCCATATGAAGTTTACTATTATGTAGTGTTAAATACATAATGATTTTAATTGCATTGAAACGCAATGAAGGGCGCGCACTCCATCTCGGAATACATAATTCATTAGCCTTGAACACAACAGTAGCGCATTCATTATACATTATTCTATTAAAAATGGTTACAGTTATCACCTCTGCGGTAAAATGAAGACGGCATCATTACACCAACAGCAACAAGTGGTAGGTTTATTTGCAAAGCCTCCAAACGCTTCCATGCAAAATATCTCGTTACCAATCTTCAATAGTTGTTTTACACTATTGTGTGAACCTCCATATGTTAAAGAAATTATATTGATCGAATATCAGACTTCTTTTCCTCTTAGAAACAAAGTCTAACTCAACGTCTTAATCAAAAGGCTGAGAGCCGAAGCTGCCACGCCGGGTTCTGAGGAGGGCTGTGTTGCTTTTCACAGCGCATTAATCACAGTGAAGGCACAGCTAAACACCGCTATGTGCGCATTTGTCCCGTGCCATGTTAAGTTCACCAGTTTGCCTCGAGAAAGACAAATGAACGTAGTTTTAATTACGGTGATTTGTCAATTACCGTGAAGGGAAATCGTTCCCCGGAAAGACTCATTTGACCAGGATAACCCAGCGCATCTGTAACTGGAGTTGTATTGACAGCATAATGGGATTTGTCGTAATGTATGATTATTACTTCACACCGTCCGGATGAGGTGGAGGATATATCTGTACAGGTACTGTTTCTCCTGGAGCAGGCTGACCTAAACGGAATATTAAAAAAAAATCAAGTTAAGTGACATAGTCGGCTAGGCCATAGCGGGGCGCTGTGCTAACTGATCCATATCTGTGTATGACCTTAGTTTTTTCAAAGACGGAAATCGGTTCTATGCGCAGCTCGATTTAGCTGAGATCGTTAAGAAAACGTGGCCGCCTTCAGTTCTGCGGGCGCGGTATTCCTGGAACTGCAAGCGCGGAGCTGCCTCAGCGAGTCCGGTACACTCTGCAACACCTCTACGTGTCGGGTCTGTTTAGCAAGCTGACGATTTCAGAAGGGGGGCACGGTGGCACAGTGGTTAGCATTGCTGAGTCCCCAAGTTCGTTTCTGGGGTACTGTCTGTGTGGAGTTTGCATGCTCTCCCCTTGATTGTATGGATTTCGTCTGGGTGCTCTGGTTTCCTCCCACAGTCCATACTGGTAGGTTAATTGGCTTCTGGGAAAATTGTGACACCTATGAAAGGTTAAAGAATATTGATCTGAGGATCTCATCCAGCTGTGCCCTGAAAAGGGCCAGATTATTGGCTTCAACAACATGGCGCGGTAGCTTGTTCCATACTCTTACAACTCTCTGTGAAAAGATATGACTCCTTTTTAAAAACATTTGACATTGTATAGACCCCTGAGCTCAATTCAATTTCAGATTCCTTAAGAAACGTGTATCTTGTTAGGATCCTAGCAACACAGAGATACGGTCAGATATCTGCTTATTGCTTTTCATCTAATAAAAAGAAGAAGGCCTCTGTCCCTGGCAGAAGGCACATTCCTTCGTCTTATTTCATTACAAGAGGCGTCTGTCCCATTTATCACCCCCTAGACTCTCATCATTGAGCTGTGATTTAATTTGGGTGAGACCAAGCACAGAAGGGCTAAGGCAGAACCAATAAAACATGCGAGATAAGCCAACTATTTATTACAGACCTTGCAAAAATATGCTCGACTACAAATAATATTTTTTTTAAATAGCAGCACATTAATATTCCTTTTGGTTCCCTTTCTATTGACAAGGCGTAGCTTAACTTAAATTATTATTTTTTTCTTTTTTTATTGTATCAAACGGGGCATGAAAAATGCTTTAATTTAGGGCTCTGGGGACAATGTAGTGTAAACAGCTGTCGACACATTAATACTTCTGAGATTGAAGACATAGCAGTGTAATAGGGTATAAATGAAGCAAGGAAAAGAGACACACAGCCCATTACCAGTCTGGACTAATGAAAAACAGTAACAGAACATTGTGCTTCATTTCCAAAGTCATCCCATAAAATAAAGATGAAGAAAGGAAATGTAATTGACATTTCTCACCAACACTAAGGCCTTAAATAACTCCTGGACATTGAGAAACAAATTCAAAAAAATGAATTTATCAGCATAAGGGTTACTAGGTTTCAGAACAGAACCTACCAGGAGGCTGTGAGTTGAGCTCAGTACCTTGACTTTGAAATCTGTGCATGGCATATTGTTATTTTATCTGGTCTGACTGTTATTTATCTCATTTATCTCACTGGTGTGTTTAGGACAGTATGTGTAGATGTGTTTGGCTGATGCTGTTTATTACTGGCTGTTTGTTTTGTATGTCACCAAACCAAACTCCATGCACCCAGGTGTCATGGCAGTAAAGTATTGAACTTGAAAGTCCACTGTGATCGTGAGGAGCCTATTTGTGCTGTGGGAGCTTTAGGCTTACTGAAACATTTATATCCTGTGCATTTCAAATGAAATGAAAATGAAATTATCCGTTAAGTAAGCAACCTTCCCTTTCCCACAGTTACTACATTACCAGTGTTTAGTTTTCCTGGACAGACGTCTTGATGATAAATGCTTTCTGTATAATTAACAAGACCTGGTATAATGTAAGAAGGGTTACAAGTGAAAGGAGGCTGAATGGCCCGTCTACCCTGTTTGGTGGTTAGTGGGTAATTGATCCAAGGATCTCTTTTTCTTGAATAGTCAGAGTATTGGCTTCAGCAATGTAGCTGGGTAGTTTGTTCCACGCTTCCACCACCCTCCACGTAAAGAAGTAACGTCTGTGCTTGGTTTTAAATGCATAGTTTCAACTTGTGTCCTCTGGTTCCTGTTTCAGTATTCATTCTTCTTTCATGTGAATGTCTTCCATCTTGTTTCAATCCTTCTACACTGTGAGGAGCGGGCTGAAACACAGAACAAGAGCTTCAGTGGGCCTGGGATCACCGCCTCCGGGTGCAAATGGACGTCTTTGCCACTGGCATGCTGTAATACTGCAGAAGGATGCCTTCTGAGTTCTTGACACATAGCACTGTGCTTCAGATAAAGTTGGCATTTCAACTCCCTTTCTCCTCAAAATCTTTTCTTTTTCATAAAAATAATAGCATGTATATACAGAGTTTAAGATCTTGTTTTCCTTTCTTCCTTTTGATATTGATAAGTTATTTTGATTAGATTTGTAAAAAACATATGATACTTCGTAAATATATTTTTATTTGGGTAACATCTTAAATGTTATATAATATAATAATAATTACATGCTACAGTTCAGTTGCTAAAGCGCTTTTAAAACTTGTTTTTTTTTAGGAAAAAACTGATTGTGTGTGTAATACACAAAGCAGGAGTAAAAAGAAAAGAAAAAATATGGCTTGGAAAGAAAGAATCTGGGCCGTTGTTCCATAAAAATACTTTTCCTCCCCATCAGGATGCACAGAGTGTTTGAAGCCAGCAATAAAATTGCAATGCAAGTTTGTCCCACAGGCTCTCAGGCATTGTAGTTCTAGTTCCCCGAGTCTCTCTCTGAATGTTCCCTTTTATAGTATGCCTTGCAGAGTGCAAAAGGGCAGAAGACTTGGAGTGTGCACTATCGCCTGTACCTTCTGACAGCAAGTCAGGTCAGAGCACTGCCGAGCAATGGGGCTCGGGCATTTGGATCTGAACAAGATTAGTGCCTGACAAGATGGTTCAGATCACGTCTGCTATGCAGAAATATTGCAAGAGATAATCACAGAACGGTAACATTTCTAGATCTGTAAAGCCTTCAAAATACGAATGACATATGACATGAAGCACAAAGAAAATTGAATAATTAATAAACAAGCAAACTACGACACAGGTAACCATGTGGATTATTTATTTTGCGGGGAGGTAACTATAAGTCATTTGAGAAGCAATTTTGTCTTTGGTTGAGTAGCTGGTCCGGAAAGCCAGCGATAGGTGCAACAGGGATGCACAAGCTGCTGGACACCATCAGCTGAAGCAAGGAGAGAAGACGCAAAGTAAAACCCTAAGACAACAGGCCTGATCAAACTGTGACAAAGACTGGTCTGTTCAGAAATATCAAGCTCTGTAGCTACCACTGCATGAAGAAGAGTTTGTTCAGTGAAAGTACAAAAAAGCAGCAATATTACCCTTTCTTTAATTTATTGTTTTACTTAAAGCACCCAAGGTTTCCATGGCACTGAAGTATTTTAAATAATATACCCAAGAGATGACAAGATTGTTTTCCTTATGCTAATAATAGAGTAATACAATTCTGAATGAATACTGCCATCAGCATGTGCCTTTTGTTGCTGGTGGTGAGATTGTGCTGCACTGTGAAGCCAGATATAATCAGCTTTCAGAGGTCAGCATGGCTTGGTATGTCCAGTACCGTAATTGAATAGGTGATGTATATACCAGACATGCTTGTGCAACTGTTGTTTTGTGCCCAGCAAGTGACACTGTTCCCACTGGACTAAAAGTCACATAACTATCAATGGCATATATCAAATTAGGAACAATTGTTTGGAATATCTTGAATTGTTCAGCTGCTGAGCATTGTTTTATTCACACATGGTAGGAACCCCTCCAGATGGACAATTTAGCATAGCAAATCAAAGTATACTGACAGA